TTTTGGTGCACAGTCTGGAAAGTGATATGTAATTCAAATGTGTCAGGGAGAGGGGAAAAAATGAGGAGAGACAGAAAGCAAAGGGGGGAAAGCAAATTATAGTCAGTGGGAAGGTATGAAGACAGAAGAAGCATTTCTTATAAGGGATATCTTGCACTGTTGGGTTGGCATCTTGAAACTCTAATCCACCCAGGATATCTTCTTTGATCAAACAACGTGTCAATCAATGTTCAAAGGATTATTATGAATGGCATTATACCTCTCCATTGCCAGCCGTCAAGCAGTAAAGGATGTGCCGGGTGCGTGAAAAGTGTCTTTAAAATGGTTTTACAACAATTAGGAAAACTCTGCCGCAACCATGGGATGTCTACGCGCTTGCCATATGGTGAATAAAAAAATTACCTCGAGCAAGCAGTTGCTTTTTAACTCGAAAGTCCACAGCTGTAAAGCTATGTCCCTGAATATATCAAAGTACCTTGTTACTACCTTGTTAAGTGATATAACATCGGTTTCTCAAGGGAATTCAAAGTTTTGATTTCACTGAATCCTTTTCAAAGCAAATGGGAAAAAAAAAACATATTTCCTTTCCAAATTTTCACTCCCATGTATCTAAACTTTTAAGTTGGAGATGCCTGATTAGAAGCTCTAATTAGTATTCAGGGTCCACAGCATGTGTGATGCCAATTATCCACTGGGTCATTACCACTCTTGAGAGAAGTCGCGCTGGCAAAAGGGTTTTAAGGGAAAAGGCCTCAGTTTTCATCAGCAGTTGCAGTGGCTCTTTGGCGGTATTGACAAGGAACAAATGAAACCAGTGCACTCAGTGAGATAAAATAAAGAGTGAGCTAAGCCATAGGAGTAGGAAATGGTTGCTTTCTATTTACACATTGCCACGACATTGTAAGGAGGTGATGAAAGAACCCCGAGTCTCCCTGTTAGTATCTAACTCGAAATACAGCTAAAGTAAACAACAGCTTCTGCAGGAGAGCTTTGGTCATGAGTAAAACAACTCCAAAGATTTTATTATTGTCCAATTTTAAGTGCTAACACTCGCTCAGCTGGCAGGTGGTACAGTATCACAAGCAGCAGGATTCAGCTCATGTGATAATCGCCTCACTGATGTTTTTCTCTGTGAGTCAGCTGATTACAGGAACTGAGGTGGGAAGTAAAGAGTAAAAATAAGTATTCAATGCACTTATTGTTTCTTTTAAGAGCACGCACAGTATGTTATTTAATAATTTCTCCAACATTACAAGGGATTTGGATAATTAGAGTTCTTCTGGCTGAATTACTTTGCATTATTCTGAACGTACACCAGGGAAAGAGACGGCACCAAAATTCAAACAGCTCTGGCACTCCAAAATGGCCTCTGCTTTATGAATGTTTCTCGCATTGAAGTGTTGCACTTTTGAGGGCCATCACGGAAAATAACTCCAATTATGTTAAAGCGTAACTTTTGAAAATAGAATTTGTGGAACTTGTTCTTCTCCTGACCAGACTAAGTCAGTCTGAAGAACTCCATTAGAGTTGTACACAAGACTCTCAGTGAGAACATCCTCATAGTGTGAACATTTGTCTCATTGGGAATGTTGTTATTGAAACATTGTGTTACAATAACAGTATTCTTTCTGTGATGTTCTGCAAAGGTGATAATGTTGCATAAGCATAATTTCTTTGTACAGAAGTGAAAACTTTCAAATCAATGTTAGATAACTGTTTTTATAAGGGGAAATGATAGACAAACTGCATCCTCTCCACACTGGCTTCAGCCTTCAGACACGTTTGCTGCTTCTTGGCTGAGTTTCAACACTGAAGTTGTGACACGAACTGTTTATATTTTCCCGCACCAGCTCCTCAGACCTTGTTTAAGTTAGAAAATACATAAATTACCTGTTTGACCTTGTACTTTAATGGACACGGAAGATAAACATATTTGTTCCTTGTATTATTCATGAAGCCAATTCAACGGCACTAACAAGTCAATAAGTCAGTGTGAGAATCAAACCAAGGTGAAAAGTGTGATTGACTGCACCTGGTATATGGGGAATCATAAGGCCTTAGGTTTGGACCCTTCCCTTAGGCTGTCAATTCGATATAAGATTGTAGGAGGTGCACCAGAAGACCTAGAGCATATTTTAGCATACTACATTATTCATTAGTTGTCAGTAAGTTGACTGGCAGAAACATTAGCTGCAGCCAGTTCAAAACAGACTAAATAAGGAGATAACAAACCTGAGAGACAGGGTCAATTTGCAATTATGAGCCGCGCAGTTGGAGATTTTTAGCCCTGTCTGCTGTCTGAGTCAACGTCATGTGACACATAATCACAGGAGAAACCAAGAATAAGTAAAGAATGCTAGGTTTGTGAAAGTTCAACTTAGCTTTGCGGCAGTGGGGGGAAAAGTAGGACCGATTACTCAGGGCTCTCCTGGGAAGGGTGTGAAAAGCCTGGAATGAAAAGTTTGTTTTTAACTTTAACACAAGTCAGCTGAAAGATTGAACTTTGTATTAAAAAATAGTGAGAGCTCTCTGGGGCCCCTCCTCACCCCTTAAAGTCACAAAAGGTTTAGTCTGCCCCTGCACTAGGATTTGTCTCTAAACTAATGACTGCTTTTGCTGCTGGAGCACCAATGTACACTGTCATGTCTTTGTCGACATTGTGTGCAAATTCACTTCATAAAAGTAAATTTAGAAGGTGCACAAGAGCGATATGGATCAAGAGACGAGGGGCTGGGGGCACACAGAGACTACATATACACAGGGCCCTGATTTTGCAGCTACGCTCCTGCATTACAGTGCCATAAATAAGATTTTATTGACCCCTGACACACAATGACCATAATATGTGTGTGTAGGTTTGATAGATTTGGTGATCAATACCAGTGTGTAAATAATTACCTCACAAGATGTGGGTATTTCTGGCTTTCAAAGTGTTCTCGCTGTCCAACAATCCCAATCACTGCGCCCCAGCGCTAACACACACAAACACCTCAGAGACCTGGCAGTGTTGGAGATTCCCATTAAATCGAAACATAATTCTTGTTTTGCAGCAAAACCCAAGACGCACGCACACACACACACAGGCTCCCCGTGAGCAAGTAAAAGCAAGCGATGAGTTCCTAATGACTCCAGCTGGCCAGCAGAGCAAGAAAGTGTTTGGCCACTGTAGACAGTTATGTTGTCACTTTTCCCTCCACATCAGGGTGTCAGACTTTAAACTGAAGTGACAGATCACTCCTTTAGCTGCTCTCTCCCAGCAAAGGACACTGACGGCTGGATCCAGAGGCAGAACGGTCAGGTCATCAGGTTGGCTGTGCTAATAGACTGCTGACCAGGCAATAAGCCAGCCTCTCGGGAGACATCGGCAGCCTGGTTCTCACCTCAACAGTTTGGGTCCCGTGTCCCTTGCATCACTCCCGTCACCATTTGCCTTATTCTCACGTTTGCTGTCTCTTCCTTCACACTTTGCTTCTCTCTGAGTCACCCATTGTACCATTTATTCCGCTGCTGCTTCTCGCTGTTGTTGAAGAGCATGTACATGGAGTCTCGGTTCAGAAATGTGCAGTCAGTTGTTTTCTGGAGCCATGGAGCTCACAGTGCAGTTCAGGCATTTGTGTAAGAGCACCTCAAGATGGCAGTGTTCACCATGGGCAGGCTACTCAGCCTTTGAGCTCAACAGCTTGCCTTTCTGAGCAGCAGCACAGGCAGAGAGCCGTGGATGAAACTGAGGGTTATCTACTGCATTGAAATTAAGTAATGATTGGATGGCAGTGCGCATTAAAGGATGCCTGGATCTGTACGACTGACTCTGATTTCCATTTTATTAAATTTGCTGTTTTCTAGTTGCATTGTGCCACTTCTGACATGTCATTTTGGAGGGGTTACTCGGCTCACTCACACAGTTCAGCTTCCCTCTTGTTGCTTTGAAACTTGTCAAGTAAGATCATCTGCGGTTGCGGGCAATTCCAAAGTCACATCACAGCCTCCTCAGATCGTCGCAGCTCTGGCGCGAGGCAGTAAACTTAAAAAAGAAATTGCAATTCACCCATTACGCAGAGAGAGCCCCGCGCCACATGATGCTGCACGGCTTTGATGACTGGGATAACTGTCAAGGTTATTTCTTACGGACAAATGCTGATGACTGGCCGCGGGGGTGCCGAGCGTGAATATGCAGCCTGTGCAAACATGCTTAGACAACGGCTTCTCTGTCTGGAGTGCAATTATTAGTGACTCTCACACAAGGCTCGTATTGTACATGCCTGTTCTCTGCAAGTCATGTGCATTTGGGAAACCGTTGCAGTTCATCGTTTTTAATCAGTCTCGTGGCTTTTTGCGTCCACCCCAATTAACGCAGCCTACCTGACAACAGCCTAACAGGTTGGCTTGTGCGTTTGATGCGTCCCTTTAGAGCCAATGACTGCTATCTGCCTTTATATAATCATCAACAGTGTGAGAGGACAGCCGCTCTTTTTTTCCCTTACATTATCACCAGCAGCACAAGCAGCTTCATCATCATCATCATCATCCTCGTCATCATCATCACCCCCCCCCCTCCTTCTCCTCCTCCTCCTCCAGCCTCGGGGTTTTTGGTTAAGCGTCTCTGCAGCCTGCAGCATCTTCACGGAGCATCTCACCGCGGACAACCCTCCGGTCTGCATTAAGTGACGTGACTCCGGGCCAATCCTGTTGCCGCTCGGGCTGTCGACGCCACTGAAAGAGAGGGGCGGTGTCCAATGACGAGGGTCGGCGGGGTGGGAGGTGGGAGGGGGGATGTCGGTGTGGTGTACTTCACCACCCCTCCTATGGGTTTACACAGAGTTAGTGCAAGATATTCTGCTCCGGGAGTGAGAGTGCAAGGATAAACGGCACATACGCGCTGCGCATCGGTGTCACACAGAACAAGCCTTAATATTTAGCCTGGCTTTCTCCAAGTGGGATCGACTCTGAGGTTTCTCTTTTTTGTTGTTGCTTAAATGCCTTCATGATCTTTTTTTTTTTTTTTTAACCTTGTGCGTCTGTCGGCTGATCACTGATGGAGCTCCGTGAACTTGAAACATGACGGGACATCACTGTCTCCTCTTGCGTTCACCTCGTCGGCGCCTTCACCTTAACAGGTAGCCGGGAGAGACAGAGAGAGAGAGGGAGAGAAGGAGAGGAGAAAAAAGAAGACGCCGGTTTTCTCGGGACGTGTACGGGAGATGAGCATTGATTTTGGGACTAATGGAAGACATCACAAACCACTGACCACCTGGCTGTGCCTGCTGGAGAGCGACGCTGATCACCGCAATCACTGCAGGTCGCACAATTAGATCCTGTCCATTCCTGAAGTTAAATGGGGGAAACGGAACTGCGACATATGCAGCCTCTAATTTACCCCAGTTTGTGTGACCAGCTGTTTTTAGCCAAAACCTGTTCTTGAGTCTGATTACTCCTGCGGGGCGAATTTTATAATTTTTTCCCTGCCTCTTTTTCCCTGGACCCAAAGCTTGATCTGACTGAGAAGGATATCCTTTACCCGAATAAGCTCGCAGGCACACTGGAGGAGAAGACTATGAGCTGACACACTCCAGTTTTTCTCCTGCGCTGTAACGGATTTGGGTATGTATGATAAGAATAGGTCTCAGTTGCCCACTAAGAATCTGTCTGAGCTCATTTTGTAGGCTTCATTCATGCGTATTCATTCGTTTAGGAGCCCACACACAGCTAAAGCTCTTTAATTTTGGCAATTTAAGTGTAAAATTAATAAGAGTGTGTAATGTGTTGTGAAGTTTTTTTGGCCATGGGGGTTCGAGGCGCTGGAAATTTCTTAGTGACCATAAAATGTGGAGGATTTAGAAGGGGAGCAATAGACATGGATGGCTGCCTAAATGGTTGCTGCAGTGTTTTTGTTGATTTCTTTCTTCTATGAAATGTTGATAAAGGCCTTTGGGGGCAGATTTTATAGTGTACAATGTAAAAGTGGACAATAGACGGCTCTTTGGTGTTTGTTGATGACATTTGATTACTGTGCATGGCAAAGTTATTTCACTGAAGAGAAACTCTGTCGTGTATTCGTAGGTTTGTCCGTGGAAGATTCCTGCCATCACATGCAAGGAGTCGCTGCCTGTATCAACGTTGCTTAGAAAGAACGCTTTTGAGTTGTGAAGCCTGGGAACACATTTACGCTGTCATGGATCTAAAAGACTATTACCTGTTGGGTGCCCTACTTGCCTGCATATGGCTCGATCCCTCAATAGCCCAAGAGCTAATCTACCCCATCAGAGAGGAGTTGCAGGAAAATGTCCTCATTGGAAACATACCAAAGGACCTAAACATTTCCCATACAAATGCTGCCACCGGAGCAAGTGCTAATCTCGTGTACCGGCTCGTCTCCAAAGCAGGAGATAACCCACTGGTCCGTGTTCTGAGCAGCACAGGCGAGATATTCACAACATCAAACCGAATCGACAGGGAGAAGTTGTGCCCCGGTCCCTCGTTTGAGGACAGCGAGTGCTCCTTTGAAATTGAAGTGGTCATCCTGCCTAATGATTATTTCAGGCTGATTAAGATCAAAATAATTGTCAAAGACACAAACGATAATGCCCCCATGTTCCCGTCCCCTGTGATCAACATCTCCATCCCCGAGAACACGCTCATTAACAGCCGATTTGCTATTCCTTCTGCCACTGACCCAGACACTGGCCCCAACAGTGTCCACAAATACGAGCTGATCAACGGGCAGAGTGCCTTCGGCTTAGACATAGTTGAAACGCCTGAGGGGGAGAAGTGGCCCCAGCTCATTGTGCAGCAGAATCTGGACAGAGAGCAGAAGGATACATATGTGATGAAGATCAAAGTGGAGGATGGTGGCAGTCCACAGAAATCCAGCACTGCCATTCTCCAAGTCACAGTCACGGATGTCAACGATAACAGACCGGTGTTTAAAGAGAGTCAGATAGAAGTGCATATACCAGAGAACTCCCCTATTGGCACGTCTGTTGTGCAGCTCCAGGCCACAGATGCAGACATAGGGGCAAATGCAGAGATACGCTACGTATTTGGGACTCAGGTGTCTCCTGCAACGAAAAGACTCTTTGCATTAAACACAACATCTGGCCTAATTACAGTGCAGAGGCTCCTGGACAGAGAGGAGACTGCAATTCATAAGCTCTCTGTTTTAGCCAGTGATGGCAGCTCCAGTCCAGCCAGAGCCACTGTTACCATAAATGTGACTGATGTTAATGACAATCCACCTAATATAGACCTGAGATACATAATCAGTCCCATTAATGGGACTGTTTTCCTCTCGGAGAAGGATCCCATCAATACCAAGATAGCTCTCATCACAGTGTCAGACAAAGACACTGACATCAACGGCAAGGTCATTTGTTTTATAGAGAAGGATGTGCCCTTCCATCTCAAGGCCGTGTACGATAACCAGTATCTCTTAGAGACATCTGCGCTGCTTGACTACGAAGGGACCAAGGAATACAACTTTAAAATTGTAGCGTCTGACTCTGGGAAGCCGAGCTTGAATCAGACTGCTTTGGTAAGAGTGAGGCTGGAGGATGAGAATGACAACCCGCCTATTTTTACTCAGCCAGTTATTGAGCTGGCTGTTATGGAGAACAACAAACGCGACCTGTTCCTCACTACTCTCAGCGCCACGGATGAGGACAGTGGGAAAAACGCTGAGATAGTTTATCAGCTGGGACCCAATGCATCATTCTTCGATCTCGACCGCAAAACGGGGGTCCTGACTGCATCCAGGGTTTTTGACCGGGAGGATCAGGATAGGTTTCTCTTCACTGTAACGGCGAGAGATAACGGGACACCCCCTCTGCAAACGCAGGCAGCCGTCATTGTAACTGTGCTGGATGAAAACGATAACAACCCCAAGTTCACACACAACCACTTTCAGTTCTTTGTGTCGGAGAATCTTCCTAAATACAGCACTGTGGGGGTGATAACTGTGACAGATTCGGATGCCGGTGAAAATGCTGCTGTTTCTCTTTCCATACTGAATGACAATGAGAACTTTATACTGGATCCTTACTCTGGGGTGATAAAATCTAATGTGTCATTTGATAGGGAGCAGCAGAGCTCCTACACTTTTGATGTCAGAGCTGTGGACAGCGGCAGGCCTCCTTGCTCCTCGGCCGCCAAGGTGACCATCAATGTCATCGATGTGAACGACAACACCCCCATTGTCATCTACCCCCCCTCTAACACATCTTTCAAGCTCGTCCCACTCTCCTCTATCCCAGGATCTGTGGTTGCAGAGGTGTTTGCTGTAGACGGTGATACAGGGATGAACGCTGAACTCAAATACACCATCGTGAGTGGGAATAACAAAGGTCTGTTCAGAATTGACCCTGTCACAGGGAATATTACTCTGGAGGAAAAACCAGCAGTGACTGACATAGGCTTACACAGATTAGTGGTCAATATCAGTGACCTGGGATATCCTAAATCCCTCCATACGCTCGTGCTGGTATTTCTATATGTCAATGACACTGTGGGTAACTCTACACTCATCTATGATCTCATCCGACGCACTATGGAGACCCCAATTGACCGAAACATTGGCGAAAGCAGTGAAACTTATCAAAGCGGTGACTATTTAACTATAATGATAGCCTTTGTTACCGGCGCCTTAGTGGTGATTATTGTCATCTTTGTCACTGTGCTCCTGCGCTGCCGCCACGCTTCCAGGTTCAAAGCTGCACAGAGGAAAAAACAGGGGGCGGAGTGGATGTCACCCAACACAGAGAACAAGCAGAACAAGAAGAAAAAGCGCAAGAAAAGGAAATCCCCTAAAAGCTCCCTGCTCAACTTTGTCACCATCGAGGGGAACAAACCTGACGATCCTGCCCACGAGCCGATCAACGGAACCATCAGTCTGCCCACCGAGCTGGAGGAGCAAGGGATTGGACGCTTTGATTGGAATGCCACACCCACCACAACCTTCAAACCCAGCAGCCCAGACCTGGCCCGGCACTACAAGTCCGCCTCACCGCAATCGGCCTTCCACCTCAAGGCCGACACGCCGGTCTCGGTGAAGAAGCATCACGTGATTCAGGAGCTCCCATTGGATAACACATTTGTTGGGGGCTGTGACACGCTTTCCAAGAGGTCCTCCACGAGCTCCGACCACTTCAGTGCCTCAGAGTGCAGCTCCCAAGGAGGGTTCAAGACGAAGGGGCCCATGCACACCAGACAGCAGGTAAAAGAGCACTTTTACTGGTCTATAAGTACTGCCTATAACTGCCCTGTGCCACAGTGCTAAAGTGCCAGTCTAGATTAGAGACTCACTCTAAGTTACTGAAGCAACAGAAAAGAGTACAGGAGACATACTGCTTCAGCAAGTTCCACTATTTCTCAAACTTAAAAAAGAAAAAAAAAAAGAGCGAAAGTAACTCAAGCAACTGCTAATTAATGCAGTTGATTACGGACTCAACAATCACACGCATAACTTTGGGGGAATAATTATAGACTGATGTTTTGTCATTAATATTTAATTCATATTTAACAAAATGCAAGTGGGTGAGTGATTGCCTTGCCTTATTTTGTCCATTCAGCACCCAGGTTAGATCACTGGTAAAAATGTACCAACATAACATTAATTGTGACTCAATGTTCTTTGTGAAAGAAACATTTTTTTCTTGCCTATCTACTCAGATTACTGTTTTCATCCTAGATAAATGCTGCACACATTCTTCCCAAAACAAAAACAAAAAAAAAGCTGACTTTTCACCTCTCTCTCTCATGAAACTCTGAGTGTATTCATGTTTTTTTGTTCGTTTATTTGTTTTTGGTGTGTATTGTTGTATCACAAAAGACTTTGTAACCTTTTCAGCACCTGCAGCAATAACAACAGTCAATAATTAGTCTGCCGGGGTGGCATTGTGAATGTCACTGTAGGCTTTGCCACATCATCTAAGCTCGAATTAAATGCCTCCTCTCAAAGCACACTAGCGAACTGAGTGAAGCTTGTCTGGAACTTGATACACATCCAATTCAAAAAGGATTAGCCAATAATGAGCCTCAAATTTCAACGTAATCCATGCTGCTTTTTTATCAAAGCCTTATTAATTTTTCTGCTAATAAAGCACCACTACACAACACACAGTTGGAACACACGTGGACAAATACGGGGAGCAGCAGAGATGAGGGAAGAGGAGAGTGTGCAGAGGGGAGGAAATAAAAGGGAGGCAGAGTGAGAGTGTTGTCAGTGGGTCAGGCTTGACGGGTGGTGGTACTGAACCTTTAGGTGGCAGTGTTGCGCTGCATGGCACAGCCTGGCACTACGCCAACCTGCAGTGGACTTAAATGCAAGGGAGGAGAAGAAAGGAGTGAAACCTATGTTGGTGTTCTTAGTGAAATACTCTTGCCTAATGATGTAGAGGCTGCACAGGGAAGATTGATAATGGCAGTTAGAGATGTGAGTGATAAGATCTTTCCGGAAGAGAGAGTGGAATTACAGGGGTGACACTGTGCGACTCCTATCGATGCATACCTCCGGGTCACTGCATCTGGGGTTGCATTTAATGTGTTTCTGTGTGAGAGGTAGCAGTCAAAAGAGGCATTCAGTTTGGTGTCATTTGCCAGGCGCTGGTGCTGTGAGCGTGTGTGCGTGTGTGTGTGTTTGTGTGTGTGTGGTTGGTGATGTGTGTGAGAGACAGAGAGATGAGACAAGGTGATGAAATGGGTGGCGGTGGCGGTGGGCGTCAGGGGGTATTCAACCCTAGAGCAGGACACATGAGATATGACACTATACTGTAAGCACAACTTCATTGATTCATGCAGTCACCCCACAATACCACACAGGATTTATTAGGATCAATAATTCTGACAAATGATTCAAAGAAGCACACAAACAGAGCCAGCAGTGCCATTGATAATATAAATGATTTGCTGCTGCAGATACTTTGGCTCACACTCTGAAATGTTATGTACAATTTGATTCATACTTTTCTGTGTACTTGTACAGAGCATAATCCATGCAGGAGCAGCAAGTTGGAATTGACCTCGAGTTGTGCCTCAGTCTAAATCTACTTTGTTTTCACACCTTAATGACACAAAGCAGCTCAGGTGGTTCATCCTCACCCATTTTTAGACATGGAACATGAAACATAAGCATCTTATAATCATGTCATGTCATAAATTCATAATCAAACTGGTATTTATGTGTTGATTATACTGAATCATTTAGATCCAGACAAAAGCCACTACCATGAATACTCCAGGGGAAGTAAGATATCCTTCCCTTTAGCAATGTCTATGAAATACACCAATTAATATGCACTAATATATTTGACTGCATACAAGGGTATGCTTTCTTATCTCCATTTCCTTATTATTAGAGAGAAAAAGTAATTTTCTACCTTTCCACTTTTTGCTAATATCTTTCTTTGGAGATTTGTAATGAAGACTATCTGCTTGGGTCTCAGTCGTAATTATTCCAAATCATCTCAGCGATAAGGATCCCACTTCAGATTTGAGGTTAAATGGCAGTTATTGATTGTGGTAAAACGATTGCACCCACTGCACTGACTGGATAAAGCGGGGGTGCGTTCTCCATTGCCATTGTTCCATCCATATTTTGATTGTTTTGCTCAGTGCGCGCAGCTGTATTGACATGTGCATGTCATCTCTATTTTATGAGTATTGATAAGTGGACGCTCATCCAGCATGTGCAGTTTCTTTTTGAACTCTGCCTGCGCTTTGAATAAAAACAGAGAGGAGATGTAATTTAAAAAAAACAAACAAGTAGAACCCCCCCAAAAATACCAATTACCTTTGAGTGATTCTTTAAACAGACAGTATATCCAAAAGGTAATATCACAGGATTATCATATCATATTCCCAGCAGAGCAGGAGCGCGTTGGAAAAAGATAAGAACTGCATTATTAAAAGATTTCTTATACATACATAGATGATAAAAATATGTCAATATTATCTGGAGTTATTACCAGTTATTTTTCAGTTTTAAAACCTGGTTTGATGTGCTGCATTCAGGACAAGCTAAGGCGCTGAATTGTTCCGCCAAAAAAAGCATCACAAAGGGGATATGATAGAATGATGAAGTTCAGCATTTACGTTGTTGCCTTATGAGTAACAAACAGTCATCAATCACCCATTGTTGCCTGAAGTTGACGTGAAATAAGCAATTAAGCGAAAGAGGACGTTCAAGAGAAAGAAATGTGTTCAGCTGAGGGAAAATAGCTTTTAAAATTGACCTTCTCTCCAAGAATTTTGAAAGCCATTTCGTTCCAGTTCTCAAGAGTCACGTCCGTGCAATGTCAGCACCGATCAATAAATAAATAAGGAAACTGAAAGGAAATTGATCAACAGAAAAGGTGCAGAGAAAGAGAGGGGGGAGAACAACAGCAAAGCACGCAGGTTTCAGCGGTGCCTTCCTGTCAGATAACACAGAACATAGGGAATAGAAATAGCAGACATCTACATCAGTGTCATCACAGACGAATGCCTGGTGGAATCAGCTTTATAGAGACCCCAAACTTTGCTGATAGCAATAGAAGCAATCCTTGCCTTGCCTTTCTTTTTTTTTCCCACTTATTATTTACCCTCCAGGGACATACATTAGTGTAAACAACACTGAGGAAAAAAGCATGAAAACACTGTCCTAGTTTCACAAGGCAACACAAGCATCTAAGAAACCAAGTATAATCATAGCCGTTTCACCATCAGTCTTACTTTCTTCCTTTCAGTAGTCTTACGGGGAGACAGAGATGTGGTTCACTAACATAACACGAGCCCAGTGGCTACGCATTAACCATGTAGTGTGCGCCAGATCCCAAGGCTCATGTTATGGACACATTAACATGGTTTAACTGAGGGTGCGGGGTTTGAGAGTAGTCATGGAGATGGTGTATGAAAAATCGATTTCAATCCGTATTGTAAATTCTCACTCCTCGCCATTAACCTTGGATGAATCCCGTGGTGAATGTGAGTTTAAGGCTGATTACTGTCTCTTGAGTTAGTATGTAGATTCACGTGTGCATTCTCACAGACACACAAGATGGGTCCTCTTTCCCCTCGCTTTCTTATGGTAATATACATTATCTGCTAGGATGCACGATTATGGGCCCTTATATGGGACATTCAGTTGTGCATCCATGTGGCCTGAACACCTCATGTGCAAAAAGGCTTAATTGCTGTGGGTTATTAGTGTTTTTTCTTGCATGGCGGAAAAGATGCAAGCGCTGAGTGAAAGTCTGCACCTACAGTTCAGTTAGCCCACACTGCTCTGATGTGCTCTCCTGCAGCACAGACCACGCTTTCAGCTCTGGGGACACAGTACAGCAGCTCCCTTTTGTGCAGCTTCACTATAGTCAGAGCACATATAGAACATCTGACAACATATGCATATGAGGTTGACTTAATCGAGATAATACAGTGTTGAATTCTTCTGTCTGTGTCCAGCTCATGTATCATTTTCCCTCTTGTTGTGACCACTGCAATGAAAAGAGACTTGTGTTACAGTATCAGCCGACAAATAAAAATGAGCAGGCAATTAGATATTACAGAAGATTCAGTTTAAAGAGCAGGATGAGAGAGAGAGATGTGTGAGGAAGAAACAGGGAATGTTTAGCAGGGTATTCCTGAAGTTGTCTTGTCAGTACATTTAATGAATGGACATTCTATGCAAACAGGAGTTTGTACAGACCATTGTAATTATGGAGCCTTGGGGGAGTCGTCCTTCTTGTGCAGGTTCATTTGCCACATTAATAAGGGGATTAGTAGTACGTACGGGGGCTGATGGCAGCAGGAGAAGTTTGAGAAGATTAATGAACTATGACAATGTTGCACCTGAGGGGAAAAGTCTGTTGCAATATCTTCTGGGTTGTGCTGACACAGAGTTTGGCGGTATGAAACAGGAAGATGGAGAGAGGCCAGTGATTGTTGCCGACTGTGATCATACATCCTTCTCCTCAGCTATCCTGTCACTTCTTCGGGATGCTGTGTTTGTGATCACTCATACTGTACATGTCCGTGGCGCTTTTGACTGAAGATGCTCCAGTGGATTGAAAATAAGGACGCCGACTTGTCTCACCACTGCTGTGCGTATGAATAAATGCTTAAACTGGACAAATAAACTACAAAGAATTTAATCAACGCAATCTTTGAGCAGATTCTGTGTTGTCTGCAACTGGGTCTGCTGCCAACATCAGTTAAATGATTAATCAAACTACCGGTAGA